CAATCATGAAACTAGAATTGTTATTAAAAGCCACTATTTTTTTTTAATTAATTGAATTTAAATTTCCGATCCCACCCCGTTACCATAAATGAAACGGCGTAAGATTTAACAGTAGAAATTTGAATTTAAATTAAACATGCCAACATCTGCAAACACAGTTTTCTTTTTAATTTTTGATAGTGCTAATCCCTGCACTTAAGGTGAAACGTTAAAATTTGTAGGAAAACTGGGCTAAAAATATCGCTGCTGCGGGAATCGAACCCATGTTTTACGGATTCGCGCCCCAGATGCTTTAACCACCAAGTCGTTAAGTCGTTTAATAATGTGTAATGTTCGTGTAAATATAATAATTATTTATTATTGACCTGTAAGAAGAAACTTGTTGCAACCTGCATATTACCTGAATATACAAAAAGTTTAAAAAACACGTAAATCTTTGCCTTTCTTTTTCTTTATGAGCTTGACATGTGTACCTATACTTACTGCATTAAATACTTCTTTTGCATACAAACTACTATTATATGCATACAAAGGAGCTAAGGCAATCTCAAAAATGAAAAAAGATTAGTATCTAAGTCATCGGTTACAATTACAGTTTGTACGAAATTGATAAAAATAGTGCAAAAATTGACATGTCCTTAAAAGTTATTGGTAAACAGTTGTCACTAAAATAGATTTATATGGAAAAGTATATAAATAAAATACTCCTTCAATGACTTACAATTATTACATAATGTAAGGGTTACGGCCGATCTCAATATTCTATCTACAGATAGATTTTGTTACTAGCGTATAATAATACTAGGTATTAGACATTAGCTCCATAATAATTACGGAAAAATTCCAGTAACCAAATCTATCTGTATATTGAATATTGAATATCGAATTGGCCGTTAGTAATTTGTTACTAAATTCCAATACGCTTGACAAAGAACCACACCGAATACTAGAGAAAAGTAATGTTGGATCTTCCTCTCCACAGGTACACATCACTTAAAATGGTATCTTTCAATACATCCCTTCGCCATAACGGAATTAAATAGTTTCCAACATCGTATTCTACGTTGTCCACTTAAGATAAAGTGACAGTAACTGTTAATACAAAAAGAGCCTTATCTGTACACACAATTAGCTTATTCCAAACGCCTCTTGTGAACATTGGCTGAGTTCACAAATCGTATGCTCCGTTGGAGAACTAACACAAAGTGAAGTGACAGTCAGTGTTAATACAAAAAGAGCCTGATCTGTACAGACAATTAGCTTATTCCAAACGCTTCTTGTGAACATTGGCTAAGTTTACAAATCGTATGCTCTGTTGGAAAGCTAACAAAAAGTGAAGTGACAGTGACTGTTAATACAAAAAGAGCCTGATCTGTACACACAGTTAGCTTATTCCAAACGCCTCTTGTGAACATTGGCTGAGTTCACAAATCGTATGCTCCGTTGGAGAACTAACACAAAGTGAAGTGACAGTCAGTGTTAATACAAAAAGAGCCTGATCTGTACAGACAATTAGCTTATTCCAAACGCTTCTTGTGAACATTGGCTGAGTTCACAAATCGTATGCTCCGTTGGAGAACTAACACAAAGTGAAGTGACAGTCAGTGTTAATACAAAAAGAGCCTGATCTGTACAGACAATTAGCTTATTCCAAACGCTTCTTGTGAACATTGGCTGAGTTCACAAATCGTATGCTCCGTTGGACAGCTAACAAAAAGTGAAGTGACAGTGACTGTTAATACAAAAAGAGCCTGATCTGTACACACAGTTAGCTTATTCCAAACGCCTCTTGTGAACATTGGCTGAGTTCACAAATCGTATGCTCCGTTGGAGAACTAACACAAAGTGAAGTGACAGTCAGTGTTAATACAAAAAGAGCCTGATCTGTACAGACAATTAGCTTATTCCAAACGCTTCTTGTGAACATTGGCTGAGTTTACAAATCGTATGCTCTGTTGGAAAGCTAACAAAAAGTGAAGTGACAGTGACTGTTAATACAAAAAGAGCCTGATCTGTACACACAGTTAGCTTATTCCAAACGCCTCTTGTGAACATTGGCTGAGTTCACAAATCGTATGCTCCGTTGGAGAACTAACACAAAGTGAAGTGACAGTCAGTGTTAATACAAAAAGAGCCTGATCTGTACAGACAATTAGCTTATTCCAAACGCTTCTTGTGAACATTGGCTGAGTTTACAAATCGTATGCTCTGTTGGAAAGCTAACAAAAAGTGAAGTGACAGTGACTGTTAATACAAAAAGAGCCTGATCTGTACACACAGTTAGCTTATTCCAAACGCCTCTTGTGAACATTGGCTGAGTTCACAAATCGTATGCTCCGTTGAGAGAACTAACACAAAGTGAAGTGACAGTCAGTGTTAATACAAAAAGAGCCTGATCTGTACAGACAATTAGCTTATTCCAAACGCTTCTTGTGAACATTGGCTGAGTTCACAAATCGTATGCTCCGTTGGAGAACTAACACAAAAGTGAAGTGACAGTCAGTGTTAATACAAAAAGAGCCTGATCTGTACAGACAATTAGCTTATTCCAAACGCTTCTTGTGAACATTGGCTGAGTTTACAAATCGTATGCTCTGTTGGAAAGCTAACAAAAAGTGAAGTGACAGTGACTGTTAATACAAAAAGAGCCTGATCTGTACACACACAGTTAGCTTATTCCAAACGCCTCTTGTGAACATTGGCTGAGTTCACAAATCGTATGCTCCGTTGGAGAACTAACACAAAGTGAAGTGACAGTCAGTGTTAATACAAAAAGAGCCTGATCTGTACAGACAATTAGCTTATTCCAAACGCTTCTTGTGAACATTGGCTGAGTTTACAAATCGTATGCTCTGTTGGAAAGCTAACAAAAAGTGAAGTGACAGTGACTGTTAATACAAAAAGAGCCTGATCTGTACACACAGTTAGCTTATTCCAAACGCCTCTTGTGAACATTGGCTGAGTTCACAAATCGTATGCTCCGTTGGAGAACTAACACAAAGTGAAGTGACAGTCAGTGTTAATACAAAAAGAGCCTGATCTGTACAGACAATTAGCTTATTCCAAACGCTTCTTGTGAACATTGGCTGAGTTTACAAATCGTATGCTCTGTTGGAAAGCTAACAAAAAGTGAAGTGACAGTGACTGTTAATACAAAAAGAGCCTGATCTGTACACACAGTTAGCTTATTCCAAACGCCTCTTGTGAACATTGGCTGAGTTCACAAATCGTATGCTCCGTTGGAGAACTAACACAAAGTGAAGTGACAGTCAGTGTTAATACAAAAAGAGCCTGATCTGTACAGACAATTAGCTTATTCCAAACGCTTCTTGTGAACATTGGCTGAGTTTACAAATCGTATGCTCTGTTGGAAAGCTAACAAAAAGTGAAGTGACAGTGACTGTTAATACAAAAAGAGCCTGATCTGTACACACAGTTAGCTTATTCCAAACGCCTCTTGTGAACATTGGCTGAGTTCACAAATCGTATGCTCCGTTGGAGAACTAACACAAAGTGAAGTGACAGTCAGTGTTAATACAAAAAGAGCCTGATCTGTACAGACAATTAGCTTATTCCAAACGCTTCTTGTGAACATTGGCTGAGTTACAAATCGTATGCTCTGTTGGAAAGCTAACAAAAAGTGAAGTGACAGTGCTCTGTTAATACAAAAAGAGCCTGATCTGTACACACAGTTAGCTTATTCCAAACGCCTCTTGTGAACATTGGCTGAGTTCACAAATCGTATGCTCCGTTGGAGAACTAACACAAAGTGAAGTGACAGTCAGTGTTAATACAAAAAGAGCCTGATCTGTACAGACAATTAGCTTATTCCAAACGCTTCTTGTGAACATTGGCTGAGTTTACAAATCGTATGCTCTGTTGGAAAGCTAACAAAAAGTGAAGTGACAGTGACTGTTAATACAAAAAGAGCCTGATCTGTACACACAGTTAGCTTATTCCAAACGCCTCTTGTGAACATTGGCTGAGTTCACAAATCGTATGCTCCGTTGGAGAACTAACACAAAGTGAAGTGACAGTCAGTGTTAATACAAAAAGAGCCTGATCTGTATAGCTTATTCCAAACGCTTGGAAATTGGCTAAGTTTACAAAAGTGAAGCTAACAAAAAGTGAAGTGACAGTGACTGTTAATACAAAAAGAGCCTGATCTGTACACACAGTTAGCTTATTCCAAACGCCTCTTGTGAACATTGGCTGAGTTCACAAATCGTATGCTCCGTTGGAGAACTAACACAAAGTGAAGTGACAGTCAGTGTTAATACAAAAAGAGCCTGATCTGTACAGACAATTAGCTTATTCCAAACGCTTCTTGTGAACATTGGCTGAGTTCACAAATCGTATGCTCCGTTGGACAGCTAACAAAAAGTGAAGTGACAGTGACTGTTTATACAAAAAGAGCCTGATCTGTAAACACAATTGGCTTATTCCTAACGCCCCTGTGAAAATTGACAGAGTTCAAAAGTCGTATGCCACGTTGGCCACCTAAAACAATAAAGTACAGTCACGGTTAATACAAAACGTGCACGCTCTGTACAAATAATTGGTTTACTCCTATTGGTGGAGTTTACAAATCTTCGAAATGCATGTACACATTTACAACATTCCCTGGTTTAGCTGGCTCCTCAACAATGTTTTGGAGATACATGAGCTCAATCGAGTCGCGATATATACGCGAACAACGTTTCCCGTAGAGGTGGTAGTTTTATTTGGACGTTCAATGAGAGCTTAAATTAAGCATTTATTGAATATAGAAATTATAACTTTGACTTTGACCTTGAGAGGTATGTGTATTCTGATCGCTCGAGTCGCGGTATAAACGCGAGCTGCCGAGCCACCGCAACGAGGCCATATTGAATATAGGAATTTTGACTTTGACTTTGACCTTGAGTGGTATGTGTACTCTGATCGCTCGAGTCGCGGCATAAGCGCGCCACCGCGACGTGGAGGCCGGGGTTCGAATCTGCCTGATTCTTGCAAATTCATTGTATCTGGCAGCCGACGTTGATGGCGTTGAACAGCGGCGCCGCGCCCAAGCCGCCGTCGCCGTCGGAGACCCCAGCGAGGTACTTCGCGGTGGTGCAGTCGCTGCAGGTGCAGCTGTCGGTGAGCGTGCACAGGCCCCTGGCGGTCGCGATCGCCTCCCACTTGATCTGCTCGTCCAGCGTGCCGCTCCTGCTCAGCAGGTTCTGGCGGCGGAGTTTCGTTTTTTTTTAAAACGCTGCCCTCACTTGAGGATAACGTTATCCTATGTTGTAAGGACGTTTTATGAACACATAAATTCCACATGTGCCCCACCCAGATTAGAAACAACTGTCTATCGCACAAATAGTTGTTCAGTGTGGGAATCGAACCCACTACCCCCGACGCCGAAGCCGATAGCTTGGCACTGCGCCACGTAGTCATCGAACTGTGGTGGGACCGCGACCGGTCTTCGCTGTTGCACGAATGGGCGGGTCCGTCCGGGTAAGTAGGATGAACTCACTGAGGGCCGGCTTGAAGTGGAGGCGTTATACTTCTGCGTTTCGTCTGATGAGATAGCTGAGGCCCATTTTATTAAAAGGTGGCAACGTAACTGCAACCATTCGGGTGTTACAAATGCCAATGGGCGGCGATTATCACTTAACATCATAACCACCAGCTCGTTTGCCACCTTTTCGCATAAAAAAAACCCTTATTTTAGGATAGCATTACCCGTGTATTAAGGACGCTTTACAAACAAACATAAGTTTCACGTAGAATAACACACAGACAAATAGTAGCACACTAATAGTTGTCCCGCGTGGGAATCAAACCCACGATCCCCAACGCCGTAGCCAATACCTTGACAACTGCTCCACGGAATCATCGAATATAATATTCTATTTATTTGTAGATTTGGTTACTGGAGATAGACTTTGCTCCGTAATGCTTACTTTAAAATTTATCTGCAGTAACCAAATCTACAGATAGAATATTGAAATCAGCCATAACAATGTACAGCGTGATTTCTAGAAATACAGTTCAAAAAATATTGGGCCCGTAAATTTTCCACTCGGATCGCAGTTTTCAAATGAAATATAAAAAGTTAAATCAAAATCTAAAATCAAAACAAGATATAGAAACGAAATAAGCTTTTTTTCTGTACAGGATTTTCAGAACTTTATATAAAAACTATTTGCCACAGTCCCGAGTTGATGATCCTAGACGGTATTAAGGGCACCAACTGTGATCTACATTTTTTGATCAGCTATTTGAGCCGCTTACAAAATTGTAATGATATATATTTTATAACATTACATTTTTGTAAGCGGCTAAAACATGACATTTTCTCAATATTAGATAATAATGGAAATGGAACTATGAAAAGTTAAAAAAATCTCTCTCTCTCTCTTCTCTCTTTATCTCGCTCTCTATCTTTTTGCCAAAGAGCGTTATAGATAAATACAAAGGCATCGGAAAAATTTTAGGGCCCAGGACATTATTTCGTAAATGAAACAATTATAAAAAAATCACACAATTTAAGGTCTCACGATAATCACAAAAAAGAACTAGCTAAATCGGATTCAACAAAAATATAAAAAATTTAAAATAAAAAAATGTAAAATTAAAACCACGTTTCGTTTCCGTTGACAGTGCCGGCAAGGACGGCATCGCTGTACATTACAGCAGTGTAGGCGTTACTCCATTTATAAGAATTTATTAGCCGTGGGCAATATCTCTTCATTAGTTAATGCATTACTCAGTGTTTGCCGCGAAGAATTTCTCAAAGTTAACCTACAAAGCAGTTGTAATTGCACTGGATAAACTTTGTTAGAAATCTTTCTTTTAGTTAGAAGGATATCCATCGCGGCTTAGATTCATTTGAGAATTATTTTTAAGAATAATTCTACTAAAGCCTTGACCCAAACAACTAATATCGCTAAAATACCGCTATTTTAAAACCAAGATCAGACTTCACCAAAGGAATTAATAGCCTCATCAGTATTCTATTTATCTATTTCATGTTACAGCAACAAAATGTTACACAATTTGCCAACACAATTTCAGTAACGTTTCCTAATATTTCTAAGTCACGTGACTTGCTGAAGCCAAGGGGGCCAGTACAATGGTTTACACTCACCTGCATGACCTCGATGTTGCTGGCCTGCCACATGTCGAAGTCGCGCCATTGGCGCTCCTCCTTCGACCTGCTCTTCTTCGGCTTCTTCAAGGAAGCGCAGTATATCGAGAGGTCGCTCGCCGTGATGGACGTCACGTCGAACTCCGAGGAGTTGGCGTCGCAGGAGGTCCCGTCCGCTTCCACGTCCGAGTTGTGGACGCCGTCGAGCTCGTACTGTTCCAGGTCGTAGTCTTCGTGCTGTGTGCTGATGGAAGCCGCGTCCATCGATGCCTGGCTCCTTAGCAGCTCGTAGTTGATCTGATGTATGACATAATATGCATGTGCTGGACATATTGATATTATATGCCCTGAGTTTCGTTCACTGGTTCTTCTGAGAACAGAGGCTTTTCTTATCAGAATCGGTGGTAGAGTTTTGAAAATTAATATTTGCTTCTATATTGAATAAAGACATTTTAATTCGAATTTGAAAGGGGTGGGATCAGGGTAGTTGTGGTTTTATTTTTGTTACTAAGTTACGAATGATTGACTGATGATGAATAGTGGCGATGTAGTCGTAAACGGTTAATGCAAGTTCAGTGAAAGCTTGTCCGTCCTAGCCTTGAAGATCTCTTCGTTATAATTTGGCATGAGAATTTTTTATATTTTATTGAGTTTATAGTAAAGACAAAAAATCTTTTGCTCTTTGACTTATGGTAGTACCCATAGATAAAATACTAATATATGCTAGTATATAGTAATATATGTTAGTAAAATACTAATATATGGTAGTAATTATATACCTTAAATTTTACGGAAGTTATTACGTTTAAAATGATATAACATTTTTCTTTAAGCGCGTTTTTATACATTTTCATACCGTGGCAATGGATTCCGCAACCACTTAAAATGAAACAGTCTATCCCGTAGTCATGGACAATGGAGCGTTCAGGGATTAAAACAAATTAAACGTGTCCTTTTTTACAATTTATAGTATTGGCTTAAATGCTAATAAGCTATTATATGAGAAGGTTAGTTCTTTTCACATATTTTTAACGTAAACTTATGCCATACCTGCGCCTCATCCACTCTGCTGCTACCACTCCCGCGTCTGATGGGGAAATTGTTCTCGCTTATCTGGAAAGAATAACGTATGGCCATATACGCGTTTTGGTTATCATCACAACAACCTTTTTACGTTTGACTTAACTAACACTCTTAGTCACAACTTGCCAGGAAACCATCGTCAGTGCTAGGAATACATTGTTTTGCCAAATTATTAAACCGTAGGCATGTCATGAGTAAGCTCAATCGTAGCGGAAGTGGTAATAAATATCTTTAAGCCGCATTTATCGTATTTTTAGGAGAGTTGGATTATTTGGAGTGACCACGTGTTGTAAAAACATAATCTATATACGTTATTGTGATTTATTATTATTACTAGAGTTTTTTGTTCATTTCAATTTCATCGAGCTTTGATTATTAATAAAATTTTATTTTGACCTTACTTAGTTTTTTTTTAAATATCACTTTTATTTTGATTAGTGTTCAAGTTGCCTTTATAATAGGATTTTCCATCTCAGATACTACGTAAATAAAACGTATCATTAACGAGTCGTTATGTTAATGATGAAGTACTGAAAGAATACCTTATACAATGTTCCTAAAGTAAAGATGAAGTCATTAAAATTAACAAGCGTGATTTAAAACTGTGAATGAAATCTTCAACCCGATTAAATGAAAAGTTATTAGGTTAAAACATTTGAAGTAGAGGATTGTTAGCAATAAATTGATAGAATATATAAGTTGTATTTGTTTTTGACGAACAAACATAAAAATAGCTATATAAGAACAATTAACTAAACCTTTTTAATTAACTAAACTAGTCATTAAAAAAGGCATTGCAAGCACTTAAAAGTCTAGCTTTCCCGACAAGCGTTCGTGTATAGCTGACGTTCAGTCACTTTCTCTTAGTCAAAGAGCTTGCAATGTTTTCGAGAGAGAATTTCAGGGAGGCCAGTTTTTAGATATGCTATCTCTCTCATTCTCCCGGACGTCATACGGGCTATCTGGCAGGCGGCAGAGGTTACCTTCATCAGTTCATGTTTTCCCGTTGCTAGCTCTAGAACCATCTCTTCTACTACTAAGAAGTACTAGTAAGTTTATTAAGCACACCATCTCCCGCTATTCATAAGTTTAATTTTCCTTGTCCTAAGGTTGTCTGGAAGAGATTGCTCTTTAGCCTTTAAATATACCGCTTTAAGATTTATAGCCTTTAAGATTTATTTTATATCAACTGTATGAAATTATTTGTGGTATACATAAAGAAAAAAATTTAATATGCAATATATTTATATATATTTCTTAATGTTTATTTTTATTTATAAACCCAACCAGACGAGAAAGCAAATAAATATCCCCACCACAATAATATTATATATTTATATCTATATGTTTAAATATCGACCCAACCAAACGAGAAAACAAATATATATCCCCAATAATAATAATAAGATACAGATTATTACTTACGTCATCGTCATCGCTGTCCAGGGTCAGCATAGATATGCTCATAGCCGAGAGATTCTCCTGAAGTCCTTTACTAGTAGATGGAATCGGCGACCCGGGGACTATCGAACAATTGAAATTTAGATTCAGACTTTTCTTTCCTTCTTTTTTAACCGACTTCAAAAAGAAGGAGATTATCAATATTTATATTTTTGAAGTTATATTTCTTCAGACTTTTTTTTAAGAAAAAATGATGAGAGTGAAATTTTAAGATGCGCGCGCATCACTGTAACACAAGAGTCACACCTTTGAAGCTGCCCGCTGAACCGCTTACTTTTTTATAGATGGCAGCATATTCTCAATCACAGTTCCCGTTACAGTTCTCAATAAATAATGTAGATGGCGCTTTCATAATTTTACTATCCTTTTCCAATCTTTTTATTATTTTACTGTAATTAATTATTTGCATGCAATTAAAAACTATTTTTTAATCATACCAAAGAAGTATAACTTCTCACGCGCGTACATAACTACACACAGCCATTTTGTGTATGTTCGGGCATAACTCCGTCATATACAGGGTGGCTTTTCTAAGTGTATCCATTTTTTTATTAAATTCTAGACATAAATAATCTTATACAAAAAATTATAAATATTTAAAATCACTCGTAAGTAATTGAATACATTAATTTGAACTTATCTCAAAAAGTGCGTGATTTATACGTAACTCAATTATTTTACGCGCGATCATTCGTGCACAGTAAAATTTAGGTATTTATAAATGACTACCACGTTTGACGTAATGACAACACGTTCTGTTTTTTTGGGGGAATAGAATGGCTTTTTTTTTTTTGGAAAAAACACTTTGTTTTTTTTTATTTCAATATCCGATTATACTACCGAGTCTGAACCTCCTGTGTAAATTTAGGCACTTCTCAAAAAATCTCCCTGTATAGACGGATTTGCAAAATTCTTTTTTTTAATTAAAATTTGTAGAAAAAGTACGAAAAGATTGTCGCCGCTTTGGGAATCGAACCCATGTCTTCGGCATTTTACGCTTACTAGGTGACTTCGATCATTGAATATGATAAATGTAAATAAATATTTAACGTAATAAACAAACAAAAACAAACTGAACTAGCTGGCGGTTCACGAGATGGTAAATGGGAACCATCGCGCATGGTCTGTCTCTATGAGGTCGTGGTACTTCCCCGGACGGACCTGCCCATTTGTGAAAAGGAGAAAACTGTTTCGTGGACCTACCACAGTTTTATGTTAGTTTAGTGTTTAGTTAATTTACCGTAATTAACCCTCCATTACCCGACTCCAAAAAATGGGAGGTTCTATGTTCGACTGTATGTATTTTTTTGTTTACGTCCAAATTAAATGCTGAGTAGTATTGATTGTATTGTATTGAGTCTAGAGGTTTTGGACGTTGCCATATTTCTGGGGGCCCACCACTTCACGTTTCGATTCAATATATCCGATGGTACATGTATACTACATAAATAAGTTACATGTGTGTTAATTTGAGGCTTCAAGGCGTGATATTGCTTTAGATATTTTTAAATGAAGCGATTTTAATTGAAGATATAAAAACGAGACAACTTCGACCTACTCCACTGCTCTCATTCTCCCGTCCACAGTCCATAAACCCCGAATTGGTGCGAATTTAATTGCTTCACGATAAAAGGCCGTATTACTTGCATTAGTGGCGTAAAGATATAATCGTAAATCTTCAGCCGTTACCTGAACTGTCGCTAGTTTTAACTGCGCAAAGAATTGAAAAAGCGTGCGTGCTTAGGCAACTTTTAATTAGACAACTGTTGATCTTCTTCCTCTTCAAATACGAGTGTAATAAAAACTGCCCAAGTGCGAGTCGAACTCGCGCACGAAGTGTTCCGTACCATTATGTATTGTAAAATAATTGGTAAGTACCTATAGGTTGCCTAGCATTCGTTGGCTAGCAACCTTCTTGCGTTTTTGTATGTGAGCCTCCTTAAAAATTTTGATTTTATTCTGTTTTTTTAGTATTTGTTCTTATAGCGGCAACAGAAATACATCATCTGTGAAAATTTCAACTGTCTAACGGCTCATGAGATACAGCATGGTGACAGATGGACGGACAGACAGACAGACAGCGGAGTCTCAGCAATAGTGTCCCGTTTTAACCTTTGAGTACGGAACCCTAAAATTATGCAAAATAGTAAAACTATACAGTTCTAATAGTCTATAAGTAGGATTTCTTTATAGCCTTGTAAATAAACTGATAGTAAAGTAATATTAAGAATATTGCAGAAAAAAGCAGTGCCATACAGCGCTCATTCTGTTAAAGGGTAATAAAATTATCGTAAACCCGTAATTGTGTTGTAATGGAACACCATACGTCATTCTCATGACGTATGGTGATACACGAGGTCTACCTCGTGTATCCAATCCAAATCGTTTGGTGTTTAAATTAAAATCGTATGACAGTTTACGACTGCGAAGTCGCCCAAGTCTGTTGTTATTCAAATCGTATGACAGTTTACGACGGCAAAGTCGCCCAAGTCTATAGTTATTTAAATCATATGAGAATTTACGAGTACAGAGTCGCCCAAGTCTGTAGTTATTTCAATCGTATGATAATGTACGACTGAAAAGTCGCCCAAGTCTGCAGTTAATTAAATTGTATGACAGTTTACGACTGCAAAGTCGCCCAAGTCTGTAGTTATTTAAATCGTATGACAGCTTACGACTGCAAAGTCGCCCAAGAAAATACAAAGGACTCTGTTATGTTATGTCTGTGTATGGTTTTCGAGTGGTACCATACCGTTGTAACTGCTGTTGCTGTTTTGCAACAGATTCTCTGTAGACGGCTGCTCCTGGTGGTCCCGACTTCTGGCCTTGAAGAGACCAAACTTGAGGGGCGCCATGCTCTGAAACAATGATTAGTAACCCCTTTAGTATGTGTATAAGAACCGTGCTAGGAACGGTCAGTTTATAGGTCACACAAATTTTGGCCCAACGTGACAGTCCAGACCCAGTGCTGCAGCAGAAGTAACTATTTCGACCATTACAGTATCCGTGAAACACATTCGAAGAAATAATATCAGCTGATTGAATTTCAAACTGAATAAAGAGACGTATCTCTCGCCTTTGTCTATCTATTCAATTACGAAACTAGCACCTACCATCTACTTTTCATCATGACAAGGGTTGACTGGTGGAGAATGCCATTAGGCATTAAGTCCGCCCCTTGTAGCCTTTAGCCTAAGGTGTTACAATGAAGTATAAATAAATAAAAAAATAAATAAACTACGTGACAATAGCTAAAGCTGCCAGTCACGTACTACAATTAGAAGTTATGCATCTAGCGAATATGTAGGGAAATATTAACTAGCCAAGGCTTTGCGCGTGATACGCGGTTTTCAGTAAAAAGATAATGAGTTACGATATAGAAGCAACAATCTAGACACAACTTTTCAATGGTCAAGATAGCATCTTTTCCCAAGTATAAAGAGTGAAGAAATAATAAAATACAGTTTGTATATAAAACAACATAAATAATTCAACAACAAATAATCGCCACTAGTGTAGAAAAACTTAAGAAAAAGTGTCATTGAGTTACTTAAGAATTAAAGAATAGCCAAACCTGTATCAATGTTGTTAGCCATATCATATATCTAATACCTTTAAACGAGCTTTTTTAATTCTTGTATATATATATATATATATATATATATGAATCGGAAACGGCTCCAGCGATTTTCATGAAATTTAGTAGGTGTGTAGATTCGGCGGCGAAAAATCAATCTAGCTAGGTTTAATTTTTAGACGGTAAATTTCGCCGAAAAAAAATGTTATAATACCTCGGTAGGTCATCGGGCGCCCCCGAAACAGAAGGCCGCGGTTCGTTTCGTTAATTTATTTAAATAAATGATATAATAGGAATTAAAAGAGTTTTATCTAATATCGTAAATGTGAATTTTACTAAAACTTTTCCCTGAATGGCCACGATCGAAGATTGGTAAGCGTAGCTTTCAAGCAACAAATATTTCCGGTCAGCGAGCGTAATTGCCTCGAAGGAGTAAATATATAATAAATAATAAATATATAGTAAATAATAACTAATATATAGTAAATAAGGAGTAAACTCTAAGATGTGGCGCTATTAGGTTCAATTTAAATGGAAATAGCTCAGTTAGCTATGGTTACCTGAACATTCGAATCAGGGTAATAGTCCAATTTGCCTCTCAGACCGTACCAACCTTCTCTTTGCCAGTGCACAATCGTGATAATTCGATACATCATTATTGTCCTGCTACCCTCAACCCACCTAGATGGCACAAAATATGAATCATGTTGTAAGTGGTTTTTTATAGGTTTTAAGGTTTAACTGGCATATTATATTACAGACTACTACTGAAGTATTACAGACGTATTATATTAGAGACTTCTCTGCTTGCAAACTTGTAACAACAATGCAAGTGAAATAATGATCGAACTTAGGATAACTCTTCTGTTGAAAGTCTTCGGTGTAAAGTTAACAATGGCGTCTCCCTTGGAGTTTCGAAAGCAATTTATAGTTTAACTAAATAAAAGTGTATTATTTCATTCCTTTAAGGGCCATAAAAATTCTCTGAGATGTAGTAAAAGGCTCTATTGCATTACGACATTAGTTTTATATGCCCATTTATGTTTATAAGTATGTTATTGACGTTTGATATTTATTAAAATAACCGAATAATGTTTCTACTACAAATAAAAAGCTAATTATTTAGGTAAAATAGCTAATTATTTAGCCCATTTCAGTTGGGAATCGAACCCGGACACGATTTACTAGCTATATTAGACTATCCACAAAACAAGCGTTATCTAATTGTAATCATATTGATAATTATATAATTATATTAATAATTATAAAGTTTTAATAATATTAATAATGGAATAATCTTTAGTTTGTTTTGCAATGGTTATTGTCATGAATTGATTATTTTTCTTTTTATTATTTTATTTTTCTTGCAAAAGAGATGTTTTTTTCTGAAATGAAACCCCTTTTAGCGAGGCCATACAATTGTTTCCGCAAAAGCTAGCTTATAATTTAATGATAGCCATAAGTAAAGTAACAGCCTATAAAGAGCCTCCTCTTTATAGGTTGTTACTGGCCTTTGCCCAGCCGCGGCCCCACTGCGGATTGACGGACTTCACATATCTTCGAAAAATATTTTTTTTTGTTATTATTTCGAAAATTATGCAGGTTTTCTCACGATGTTTTCCTTCACTGCGGAGCACGTGTTAAGTCAGCACTTAAAGTTAAATACTTCATTTGTGCCGGCACCGGGGATCGTACTCAAGTGGCTCGAGTATATTGAATTAAAGGCGAGCGCCCGGACACTGAGCTATCACGGCTCTTATGATAGCCATAAAGTAGAGTAATTGAAGATTTTATAAATAAAGTAGCTGACCCGGCAAACGTTGTTTTGCCACATAAATTATTTGTAGGGTAGAAAAAAATGTTTGGGGTGGACCACCCTTAACATTTAGGGGGATGAAAAAGATGTTGTCCAATTCTCCACCCTGGCCGATATGTACACGAAATTTCACGAAAATCGGTAAAGCCGTTTCGGAGGAGTTTAATTACAAACACGGTGACACGAGAATTTTATATATTAAATTTTCAGGATTTCCCTAAGTAAAATTAATATTGGTCCCATATTAATTTCATGGCAAGCACCAGCTTTCAAATAAAAAAGAATCGTCGTAATTTTGAATAAAAAAAAACCGACTTCAACCAAGAAACTAAAAACATACCTATAACATTTTGAGGATTGCCCTTGATTTCTCTGGAATGCCATCTTTAGATCCGGGTTTCCTTATCATGGTACCAACCTTCGGATATCACCTTTCCAACAATCCGCCGCCCGCATTGAGCATTATAGAAACAGTAACGTTTATGTGGTCCAATTCCAAGTTATATTCATCTGTTCGCTAAAATTACTCGTATGATTTGGAGCACCTTTTGCCATGTCTCCAATATTTTTTTGTAATAATCGCCCAATTCATGGAAAGGCTTTTTAAAAAGTCTAGCTTAAAGAGTGGACGTGTCTCGGAATTTTTAAAGGAGGATAATTACTTCTTTTATAATGTTATTTTAATGTACAATATAAAATATAAAAATAATATATACTGTTTTAATAATCACAGATCGTCCACTGTTAGCCTTGAGCTGGCCTATCGATGGAAGACGCCTTACTACTTACTCTTTTATGGGCTTCGACTGTTAGTTAACTTAAATAAACGTAGATATCCAAAGGATCTATTGAAGTTAGTATGAAATGCCCGAGGGCTCTAATACTGTTTTCGTATGTAAACATCGCAACGTTGTCCAACCTCGATGAAACTTTTATGACAGTTTGTACTAATAATGTGGAAACTTTGGCGAAACCCCGCGAGACCTCATACTTACACCTTTGCCATTCTACCGTACGTCATATTACGTTACTATTATTCTCGATTAATAATGTGACTTACGTTACTACGTTTAGAAAAATGAGCAATTGGAATGTAACCCCATTTTATAGAATGTGTACCCCATTTTATAGTAACTATATGTGGTCGTTAGTATCAAGAGCAAAAATCGAGGATAAAAATAATGAATCAATTTATTATAGAGTCAATATAAACATTTAATACTCAAATAGCAATATATAATGTGCCCTTACACATGAAAAACATTAAATTTTTTTGTAATTATTTACCGTTATAAGTTGTGAAGTAAATAACTTGTCATCAATTAAGGCTGTGAAACTAATACTTTTGCTAGCTCAAATAGAATAGATTCCATTAGAAATTGCTTATTAATTGAAACTGTAAAACGCTGTAATTGAATTTCTTGTGTTTTTTTTTTAATTAAAATTTTGCGTTATCATTTGGTCTTAATTTTAAAATTAATTAATTTTAGTAATTAAAGTGACCTTGTGGAGATTAATTAATTATTAAAATTAATCACGGTCCTCCTAAGTTGTTCGATACAATAAGGAAAATACCAGAAAACTCTCGTAAAATGGAACTAGCATAAAATCTACTGTCTGGAATGGAACTCCTGTGGAAAAGTTATTCTTATGCTCCAGCATTCCTTATATATTTTATGCACTTTTCAAAACTACGTATTTTAAAAGCGGTAAGCGGTTTTTTAAGATTTAAATAAAAATTTTACGTTTTATAATCTATAATCGCAAAGTGAAGTAGACTGCAGTCGCATAAAAAATGTCGCGTTTCAATTTTGCTATGCAAACTTTGCATGTTGACATGCCATCATATTAGCTAGTTAATTAACTTCTAATCGTATGTATACTACGAACATAAATTCACTACAAGGTTCTAATGTAATATATTTATACAAAATTTTTCACAATGAGCAATATGGATTCACTAAAGGCAGATCGACAACAGATGCGGGTATCGCACTTGTCAAACATATTTATAACGCCTGGGAAGGGTCGCAAGATGCAATAGGTGTTTTTTGCGACCTTTCAAAAGCTTTCGACTGCGTGGATCACAAAACCCTCCTTCTAAAGCTTGATTATTATGGCATTCGTGACATCGCCCTCAATCTCATTGCTTCTTACCTTAATAATAGAATTCAAAAAGTATCTATAAATGATGTAAATTCCGCAGGGTCCCCCATGAAAATGGGTGTCCCACAAGGATCGATCTTGGGCCCATTATTATTCTTAGTATATATAAATGATCTCCCCTTTTATGCCATTGAGTTATGTGATGTTGTACTGTTTGCTGACGACACATCGCTTATTTTTAAGGTTGACCGAAATGTATCGAATTATGACGACGTGAATAGTGCACTTTCGCGTATCCTCCACTGGTTTACCATTAATAATATGGTGTTAAATGCTAAAAAAACTAAATGCCTTGT